CATAAAGATATGGCAGTGTTGATAGCATTCATGTGTGCTTCCATTATTTTATCATAGCACATAAATCAAATACAAACTGCAAGGACACCAATAAAATACCAAACAATAAAGAAGTATGTCCTTGCACCTATTGTACGTACTCTGTGCGGTGTGTGTAGGCTGTACTAAGGGCAGCATCAATAAAGCAATAAAATACACTTTTAATTACTGGCTGTGTGTATCGTAAATCTAACAAAATTTTTAAAAGGTTTTGGGTTATTAAATTCTCATAAGCAGTCCATAAAGTTTTTTAAGAGAAATTTGGAAGAGCTATAAATTTATAATTTTTTTTAAAAAATTGCTGTAATATTATTAAATATTATTACAGCTTTGTGATATCATTTAAAAAACCTAGAAGTTCTATTCAATTTTTCTAATTTTCATTACATCAATTTTTTATTTTCGAAACAATTTATACGAATAGAAAGGAGAGGAATTTGAGTTAGATATAAAGGAAATGGATTATCTCAGTGGCAGGTTCGCCACTATATAAATACACAACAAACCTTTGTCATATAAATAAATATGAAAGCAATGCCTAATTTGGATATAGCAGGCCAAGGTGAGCGTGTGTTAGTTAAAATAAGTTGTAATAATTCAGCGCTAAAAAAAGAAAGTCTTACATCTGATAAGAAATAAAGTAAGGACCTCCCTCTGATTATTTAAATGGTTTATAATGCAGCGAAAGAGAAAAACTTAAATAATTATGGGTTTCTTATCATGATAATATTGCAGAATTTGTATTTCTTCCCAGAGAGTGCTCAACGCCTCAAATAAAGACCAGTACCTGTGTATAGTATATATATATATATATATGCAGTAGAACTCCGTTAATCTAGATACATCAATGACATCAAATTATATCATAGAAAATCTGTGAGACTTATAGATTTCTGGATTCATATTCAAAATTCAGAAAAGTCTTACATATGTATATGTAAACCAACTAAAATAATAACAACTGGTCATCCTTAAAACAAATCTAATATGTTCTCAGTCTAGACATGAGTGAGAGCAGATGACAAAACCGAAAGTGTAGAGAATCCGATAATTGACGAGAAGCGAAGTTGGTGTGCATTGCATTGAGCGGAATCCTGCGGTTTTTTTTTATAAATTTTGTGTTTGCCTATTTTGTAAATAAATAGATTATCAATTTATATATATGTATATATTTATTTTAATCACTGAAACTAAATAAAACCTCCACTGTTATGAGATCAATAAATAATTTAATGTAACACATTAAGAGAGTTCACTTCCCCCAACTGTGGCGCAGACATATTCAGAATATGTGATCCGAATTACGAATTAGTGTTTGTTCCGGACTACTAGAAGCTAAATAAATGTTTCTAATTTTGCTCTTCCAGTCGTAATCTTCAAAATTACAAAGGGATCCGCGTTACCGAAGATTCGGATATCAAAGATTTATTATATACCGATTTATTGCTTATTTGTTTTGTGTTTAACTAAATGAATAAAATTGCTTGTTAAAATATCTTATGATATCTTATACTATTCGTTTAAATTTAAAGAACATTAGTAAAAATGTATGCAATTTATTATTTTATATTTAATATATTATTACTGATTGTGTATCATACTTTATTTACATTTTATCTCTATTAGTTTGAATGTTTTTTAGTGAACTAAGTTCAAAAAACTTGTTCAAGGATTATCAGGTATCTTTAATTTCTTACTCACAGCATCTAAATATTAATTTAAACGTAAAATGAAAATTTGTTATTTTTGTATTCAATTTTTCAATCTGATAAAAATTATATTTTTACATTTATCTTTGAAATACTTTTGTATCTAAATATGGATTCGCCAGCCAAAAACAATTGTTTTGTCATTGTTATCATTCGTGATGTATGTTTGTTTTATATTTTGAGATATTTTACGGTAAGCATATTAATATGCAAATTGGGTATGTCTGGCAGCTTATATTGTATTATAAATGATTTTAAAAATTTCGTACAGAAATGCCAGATTTGTATTCTTCTATATTCTTTTTTAAGAAGCACAAACTTACATGAAGGAGATACAAAGCTTGAGTCAAAGTAAAATTGTTTATGCCCTCAATAATATATTATCATCAGTTAGGGAATGTAATGCACTTGTGAAATGTTGTAAAAACATATCAAAGGCGAATAAAGTTATATTATTCAAATATTGAATGTAATACAATAATTGCCATATAGTTATAAATATGTAAGTCGTTTCAACTGCCTAATATTTATGTAAAAAGTTAGTTAAAAACGAATATG